AATACACTCCGTTTACCCGTCTGGCTTTTGTTTTCATAGTTGGATTGGACACCAAGTATAAAGGGCCGTAGGCAGCAGTACCGCAGATGTGCACTCCAATACTAGGCAACAGTACCGCAGGTGGGCACCCCAGCAGTAGGCAGCAGTACCGTAAGTGGTGACCCCAACAAAGTATATCAAATTCGGCGCAGAAACTGCCGCTTGCCTTACGATGTTGGGGAGCTCCTTGTCCTCCAAGAGACTGGAAGCAGGGCTACGGTACACACAGACGAAGGTTTCCAACCTACCGTCTCCCTCAAAAAGCAAGGAACAAACTGAACACTTGACGTAATAGCGATAGGAGCTTCCCAGTTAGTAAGGCTGGGTTTGACAAGCAAAACCACCCCTCCACCAATTTGTTGCTCGGGTCGACCCACTCTATGACTGGAGAAATCAACCAGTAAGTTACTAACTTGACCACTAGGCGAGAGCCAAGTTTCAATTAAAGCGACAACCTCTGCGAGCCTGTAACGCAGCGTCAACTTTTTTCACTTATTCCTGACGCTAAAATAGTGTGTAACACTTTCAGACCCCCACTTTGCAGTTCCATTCCTTCAACTGGGAAGGAAGCTACATTGGTCTTACATTTCCCCTCGGGCGTAAAACTCGAGGGGATAGACCGTCTTTTCGAGCTGATTTTGGGTCAGTGTCCACTACAGCCGAAATCTAAAAATCAGAGATGGTTTCTCTTAAACCACGACACAACAATTCTTGATTTCTCAGCTTTGATGTGCTCTCCTATTCATAGTCGTCTGATTAGGGTCAGCTACGTTAATCCTTGTACTATCAACGTGATCACTCCGCGCTTTTGTACGAACGTGTTTGGCGCCATCCAACGTAAGCCCACCGAAGCTATCGTTGTCGAGGTTGTAACTTCAGGCGATTTTGATCGTCTGCACTTTGTTAAGGTGCTCGTGATCGTAATATCGCTTTTTTTCCTACCGCCGACGGTGTGATCCCGCCACCCGATAGCACCACACCCTCCGTGGTCACACCCGAGACGTGGTTTCCCTTCTTCAAGGCCTGAGAAGGGTTACAACACAATTTATGGACCACAAATCGATCGTTGTCATGTACACTTGGAGTCGGGGTCTCTTGAGGTTCGACCAGACAGTGCTCTTGAACAAGCGGTCAAGGAATTTGCGCTGTTTCAACATGTGCAGTAAACTCGGTGATTATGTTATCCTTCTGACTTAGATGAGCGACCCTTCTCCTGAAGCTAATGTATCTGGTGCCACTTGATAACGACCTTTGGTATAATTTGATAGCACACTTGCTCGGTTAAGTAAACTGGATTTTTAAACAACCAATACGGGCCTTACCAAGCCCATCTGGCGCAGTACCTCTGCTTCTCTCCAACGGCCGATCCTGCGGACTCTTTATGCTCACATGCGACGGTAGCCCGATAATGGGAAGAATATCTTGCAAGCGCCTTCTATCCAAATCGCGTCGAATTCGACCCCCATGTATTATTGGCTCCTCGTGACTATAGGCAAGCACGTTTCTTTGACGGCGCATTGCAATTTCCGCACTATGCGTATAGTAGACGAGAGAAGACTGGATTTCCTCAGTCCGTATCTTTAAAGCGTCAATGAGTGATCTCTGTTCTTGAATTGACTTCTCTGTGGCGTTAGGCCTTTGTGAACAATCCGCATCGGCAACCACCCCAACAGGTGGGTACACTTTTTGAGCACGTAGTATACGTAAGCAAGTGTCAGCTAAACAAACACAGTGAAAACAACCCCACTTCAATTTGGGAAAACGAGCGTGCAAATCGATTAAGCCCTGATAAGTCAATAAATAAATAAATTCTTTATTCTCGGACAATGCGAGGTATGCTTATGTAGGCATGATCATGTTAAAGGGACAACTAAATGTCGGTGAAGGTATAAAAGATGGTGCAAATTAATCATGAACATTGGAGCTGTGAGTTCACACATGTATGTGGGAGTGCATGTCTATCTGTTATTCGAGTTTGAATATGTGCCACTGCAATTGCGATTGATCGCATGAATAGTGTGAGAAGGGTTTCGTGACGTTCGTGGTGGGGGTGTGGTTGGTTGGGTAATCATGGGGCCGTGACTTTAGTTGGAGGCGAGTCACATCCGCCTCGACGCAGTGCTGTTAAACAGATATTAGTGACTTTTGTGGGGAGAACACTTGTCAGGGGAAAACCCAACAGTAATTGTGATACCACAGCAGGCATCTGTCACACTAAATTCCTTCCGTGACTACAGTGTCACAAGTATCCTCTCCATATTTATAAACAATTTGGGAATTCATAACAAATACGAGCTAACCAAGCAAATTAGTACAGTAATAAAGCTGGGTATCCTATGACAAAAAGTACGCGTACGAACCCTCGGTGATAAAAGGCCGGAATATAATTTAAATATTGAGGATGTGAGACTACATTAGAAACACACAAGAAGTGCACAGTAGTATAAAATAATATCAAAAACAAAGTCGATAATATGCAGTGTCTGGAGGAACCCACGAAGATGAATGTGGATAGGGGCAACCACTCAAGGTGGGAGCACCGAGATCGGGGCGCAGGACGAGAAATCCGTATGCCTGATGTTCAGCTTTATTTGAGGGGTTGCACAGTGTTCTTCAAACACTGTGTCCAAGTTTGATGAACGTTAGTCTTAAGTAAACGTAACGCAAAAGATCTCGCTATCTGCATATGTCAGTTATCAGTGGAACATAAGTATTCCTTAGTTGAGCGCTTTCATTGGGCTACTATATACTAGAGGCTTTATGGGCTTGAAGAACATTCCACTGAATATGCTATGGTTAGATAAATACAGATTGCCTATTTTTCAGGGAAAATTGGTAAGAACAGATTCAAGGAATTAATGAGGCTCCTTGGTTTTGATATGCGAACTACCAGAGGTGAAAGATTGTAGACTGACAAGTTTAGTTTCCTAATAATGTAATGCATTTATCCGCAGCTCTCAGCGATGCTATGTGCCAGCACACAGCCCAACCGCCGACGACCGATTGTTTCCCACCAAAACCCACTGTCGTCTTTTTCAGTACATAGCCAACAAACCTGATAAGTTCGGTATCAAGTTGTGGATTTTGGCAGAAGTGGACAGCAAATATTTCATAAACGGACTTCTATACCTCGGAAAGGACGAATCTCAGACGCGTGGAGAAAGCGTTCCAGAGAGTGTGGTATTTGGCCTTATGTCACGCTTCTTTGGAAAAGGTTACAATGTCACATGTGACAATTTCTACATATCGGCAGCATTAGGACTAATACTAGCCCAAAACTAAAATTATAGTGGGAACTATTCGAGCAAATAGAAGGGAAGTGCGAACGAGTTTGAAGCAAAGTAGAGTTGCTCAATTCAATTATTATGAAAATAAAAATAAGCATACATTAACATCCTACCAGTGTAAAAGGAATAAAAATGTGCTGGTTTTCAGTTCCTTGCACAGTAACTCTTCCATTCAAGAGCCTAGAAAGAAGCCCGAGGTTGTATTGTTTTACAACTCCACGAAGTATGGGGTAGATATACTCGACCAAATGGCGTGAGCACTGACTATCAAGTCATCATCTCGACGATGGCCAGTCCAAGTATTCTTCGACGTGCCGGATTCGGCAGACATTAATTCCTGGATACTTTACAACAGTGTGAAAATAAATTATCACGTCAGTGGTATCTGACGGGTTTAGCGGAAGAACTGTGTGGACCTATGAATGAGAGAACGAACGTGACAACTAGACATACGTCGAACACAGCCCAGTCGAATATTCTTGAGACAAGTCAACGTCGACAATATAAGATTGGCTACTGTAGAGGCAACAAGTCAAAGAACACGTGCTCATGTAGACAAATTGGGAGAGTTATCACCTGTTTCAAGTGTATAGCTGAATAAAAAGTACAATTAATTTCGACACTGAAAAATTTAAAGTTCAATACAATTATTTTTCAAGTACAAATATCTTACACCTTGTTCTTAGTATATGCAATTCAAGAATATAAGTTGGAACAAACAAATACATTAATGCGGTCATTTTGATCAGTGTCGATGTTCTAGATAGTACGGCGGAGTATAAAAACGAGAGTTTGGACTGAGAGCCAATTATTACTGTTGCAGTTGCGTGTATTCCAGTGAATGTCCATGTGTGATATGAAAGCTACACTCACACGGCGTAGTGTATCGTTTTGACACGAATTTGCGTCTACACCACTGAGTTCCAAATAAAAGAGCACGCAACTGTATGCCTTTAAAAATGGTGAAACTGTTCGCATCCTAAACCCATCATTGATTCTTACTGTCAAACAACGATGGGCGAATACCAGGAGTAGGTATGGTGCTCATTAGAAAAAACATCCCGTTGATTCCAGCAGCCACCGTACCTTTAGGAGAACGACCACGACTGATCGCCATTCCGGCCTAAGCAACGCTTACGTGATTGATAAGTATTATGAAGCAACACTTGAGGACGTTAGCTTGTTAGCGCGCCAACATTGACATCCAAAATCGAGTCTATCTATGCGACCAAAATGTCTATATGTAGGAAAGTTTCCGTGCCGTGGCCAGATAAACTCATTCCAAAGTTGGTGCATAGTTCATTAGAAAATGAGTGCTATCCGTTTGTTCGGCAGTTTTGTCTGACCTGGGTGATTTGGCTACAAACGTGTCATCACCAATCGAGATGACATTATTAGTACATTACTGTGTAACGGGTCATCCCACCGATTGGGTTCTCCGGCCGTGAAATTGCCCGCTACAAAATAACACACTGACGATATCAGCTCTATTGTTGACGAAACGTTTGAGACCGAGCTGCCCAGCTCAGTAGCTTATCAAAAAAGCTGAACAACCAACCCTGCCGTCCGTGTTTCAAATCATTTCGAGTGAATAGACACATGTTTCCGAAAGAAAACAGAGCCTTAGGATTAACCATATATAGGCATCGGTTAGAGCACAGATCGATACTTCACCTGGTCTCCAACTTTTCGATATCCACCGCATGGAGTCGTTGGGAACTGAACCGGAATATCACATATGGCAACCAAGAGGAGAAGACGCTTTGCACGTGGGTCTCCAACCAAACCGTGGGGTCTGACAGAATCTGATGACTCCATGTACCAGTCGTCTGATTCGTGTCGCGAGGTAAATCGCCGGAGTGAGGTAGAATAGTCACCATTACGTCGTATTCGGTTGAAGGTGGAAGATAATTCTGATTCTTGGAGGTCGTTAAACGGGACTTGATAACGGCTCTGTCAATCTTTCTCTGATCAATGTGCATCGGAGAACTGGTGGAGGAATTAACAAGCATCTGGAAGAGAAATCCAGAGAAAGACGAGTAAAGGTCACGTTTGACCAAAGACTTCGGAAAAAAGAGTAAGAAGAAAACGAATAGGTCATCTGATCGCCACCTCCATTCCCAAGCGCGATCGGAGCGTTAACCTCGTCCTCAACGCCTTGAAAGCACCCACTCACTACGCTCCGAGTGTTCAACGGTCCACAAACAAACTAGATCGGTGAAACCCACGCAGGTTTTTACTCACCTGGACGGCACCCTGGTAACACTTTTGGGAATTGCTTAAGCAATCTAACATAAAATCTACCAGGATAGTGTTTTTTAATCGAGGGATCACCCTTTAAACAACTATGTTCGCGTGTGTGGTTTCGTTTTCAGAGACCATGTGAGGACCATTCCCATTGGAGTTCACCACCTAGTGGTTGACGTCTCTTCATTCTTCGTCTGCGGTAGTGATGATGAGTAGGGATTCAATTCCCACTGTTCTGTGCGAGGCGAAAGTTCATTTTGGTTGATCAGTCACAACTCGCGCGGATTCATACGGTCCCAGAAACATTGATTTAAGAGAGGACAGGAGCAGATAACAGAAACTAAAATCGTCATTAGCTGAGAGTTAAAAGCCAGAAGCAAGTGACTGAACGCGAGGCCTCACTAGATTCGTGACAACACCATGTAAGACTGGAATTCTAATCGATCCATTAAAGATTGCCGTCCAAAAACAGTGTAATGTGTCAGCAGTACGCCGTAACGGCGCTTCGCTGCCGCGCGACCAGCACCAGTCGCGCGCGGGCTGAGTATACCGCGAGGACGCCCACCCGTACGCGGATTCAAACCGGCGACCTTACGGTTGCAAACCAAACGCGCAGACCACTCGGCCACCGGCCGACAAAAACAGTGTAAGCTAAATTGATTCAGTTCTCCGGTCAGTCTCTTTGTGTACTTGTCTCATGCAATTTTAGGGTTCCATCCGATCAGGTGCAGTAATGATAGATCTTGTACTCCGGGGTAGACGGTTAGTAGGTTGCTTAAACAACCATGATGATCCGGGCACCGAGGTGCGGTGATCCTTGTTATTATGGCTCGCGTCGTTAGCAGCGGTTACCAGTAGTGAGGAAATAGAGGTGGAATGCAAGTAGAACAGAGAGAAAATAGGGTCTTAAAACAGGGCAGCTAATGTGTATTCAACAGCCGACTCGTTCAGACTCCAGAGGGCTTGTTGCCGATTGCCAATCGTGTTTTCGCCAAATACGGGCGGTGAGTTGCGAGCACTGCTTATCGGGAAAGCCGATAGCTTAATGTCCCTAACGCGCGCTATCAGCGTTGCAAAGGCGGTCGAATGGGGTAAACACAGGACATGGTTCTATTTTAAGTAACGCTCGGCTACATGCGAGTGTTTTCGGATAACTTGAATGGTGGCGTCGCGCGTTGAGCATGTGCTCCGCTGTGCAACAACTGCGGTGGTACTTGATCACCACACTATAGACATTTACGAGCACGTAATAGAGACCAAATATCCGAGATCATAATCACCTACAGATGTACCGCAGTATGCGATCGTCCATACACCAAGCTATATTAGCGATAGACGTTAAGCAGATCTTGAAGACTTACGAATTGGAGTTTCAGCACCTTCCGCCTTTTGTTTTAATAAGCTCGATGATTAGCCCTGGGCTGCTACACAGACCTAAAAAGTGGGCTAACTATAGCACCGTGTGGAATGCCCTTCAAAAGGTGTATCCGAAATCGGCAATACCAACGAGTCCCGTCGTAACGAGACTGGACCTTAACGTGGTGCGACGGTTTGCGTGCCTCTTTGACCCATTGAGCTGTACTGAGTGGTGTCCCCGGGCCCCTTGAGAGATACTCCTACCAGGTTGGTCAATGGTTAGAGGTCAGACAAACTCAGTCTCCTGGTCCTCCAGGTTAGAGGTTTGAAATGGGATGGCGTCCATTTCTGTAAAACCAAATCATTGCCACCTCCCCGCTGCCTTGCGGACAGGCTTTTGAGTCAAAGGCTTTGGTTGAGGATCCTAATCGTTCTCCTGTCTAGGCCTGGGCGCCCTGGCTGTATCTCAGCCCACATACAACCATGACATTTTCATCAAACATAAACTTCATCTTGCATCGGCCGTCGCGCAGATTATCAAGGGTCGCCTTATCTGCCGCATACAGCAGTGCATATAAGCGAAAACATGCTACTGCTGGCACCTCCCTTCTTTCTTTTCCACCCGTTTCTCTTACTCCCATCCCGAACCATAATAACCACCTTCGCTCTGAAGCGCCTTCGAGTCTTCGATCATCGTTGTCTGCGGAGCATTGCTGGTGTCGGATGGCACCAGTGTGTCCGCAACGATGATGTGCGTAGGCGAGTACTAGCAGTGATGATCATGCTAGCTCGCTAGAACGACAGATAACACTGAATAAGTTGTGTTGGCTTGGGCACGTATTACGTATGTCTTGTCACCGTTTACCTAGGAGGGCCTTGATTAGTCTGCCAGGTGTAGAGCGGCGCAAGGCTCGAGGTGGACAAAAGGTGACTTGATAGCGTGAAATGAAGTCAATGACGACCAAATTTGGGGCCGTCCGTCCGTGTTGCATTCGAGGATGGAGTCCAAGTGACCCACCTTGTGTTTGGCTCGAGACTTTACAGGACGTGGCTCGGAATCGACACCAGTGGCGCGTCTGCTGCCGTCTCCTAGTCGGACTGCCTGTTAAACGTGTGTTTTGTGCTGAGTTATCTGCGGGGTAATGGCTGATTATGATGAGGGGCAATGAAAGCCGCAAGGAAACTGTCTCGCTGATGCCGCCTTATCTTTGCACGATAGCCAGCTGTTTGTGAGGGTATGTTGTTGATAAGGTAATGGGCGCCTTGACCCTGAATGTTTGCCTCGAATATTAAGGATTTCATGTAAATCCCCCTTCTTTCCCTTCTATTATTCTTTATTCCAAAGGTCATCATGTGTGTATGGCAGAGAAGCATCAAATGGCTGATGTACTGCGGTTGTTGATTGATTTGATTGTATACCAAAGAGCCTGAAATTGCCGTCGCGAAGCATATTCAACAAACTAACCCGCGTGGTATGGAAAGATAAGTAGTCCTATCAAGTTCATAGTATTCCCTCTGAATACGTGTAATGGGGGAAGATGAACAAGCAAAAATTATCGAGGTCACAAGCTATGCCTTCGGTGGTTCATTAGATCATAAATCTATAGGAGTGATACATGGTTAGCAGCATCTGATTACTGATTTGCTTGTCACTGTGGCCTCCATAGCATAGCTATAGGACTCCTGCGTCTACAGAGGGACTATTGATGGCTTGCGCTACACCACCCACAGCTTCATCCACACAGCCAATATCCAGTATAAACCCGAAGGAATAAGACCGGGAGGCATGTGGATGGGAGCCACATTTCGTTAACATACAGAGCAGTAGCATTCATGCGTAGCAGACGTGTACAAGGCGGTGGCTGGATAGTAGTCCGCTACACACTGAATTGAACCATTCTTTGAGCCTAGCATGGCCACGAGGACAGTGCAGCCACCCACCCAAGCAACGATTCAGTAATCGATGTGGAGGGTGTTAGACAGGTAGACACTTTGACAGCGTTTACATAAAGCGCAGCCACACCGGGGATATCAAACGAGCGATAAAGAATAATAAAAAATATAAACACGCAAAATGGACAGTAAATGTGCGGCAGAATAACGGAATAGAGCACAACAAAAGATATGGATCAAGCCTGGTCTGTGTAAGGGTGATCTTGAGCAAGTGTAAGTTAAGGGGTAACAACCGAATAACACCGAAAATGAACGAAAAAGAATGCACAAAATAAGCGAGGAATATGCATCGGGTTTACAGAACTGAGTGAATAAAATAAGACGGATTCAGCCAGATCTAGTGTAGTGGGTAAATTACTCTAGACCAACTGCAATATCAACCTCAGCATGAGGCCAAGGAGAAACACATACAAGACCACATAAAGCAGTGAGGTATAGGCACGGGTATCGTTAAATACGAAGCAGTCATTGCTGCGTATGATTAAAACAGAGAGACGCCTTCATGAAGAAGGAGTCGGTAAGTGAGGATGCATCAGCCAGATGATACAGTGGATGTCAAGAAATTACCGTCAAAACAAAGGAATACAATGATAAAAGATGTGAAGGAGCCCCGACCAACCTGAAGTTCCGTTATAGGTAAAAGGATGGTATTCATCAACGATGCAATCTCTGTAGTAAGCGCTTGTCGAGCATTGCCACTTGGGGCGACTAAAAATACTACTGTAAGCGAGGCAGAAGGCCGAATCCTCCACCGCACAGAGGAATCGTCCACTGGGAAAAGATCTTGGATGCCGGTTGGGAGTACGATGATAGCGTACGGAGATTGGATGCACTGAACATCGTTGGAGAGGCTGAAAAGATGACAGGAATCGGGTCAGTGTGAGTAGTCTGAGGAACTCCATGCTGAACACATGAAATTTCACAAAATCTGGTGTTACTGGTACCCTCGATTCGCTATCCAATGTATGACAGGACCAGTCACTAGGTTGTAACAATTGGGAACTACAAGGGTGAGAAGATACTTCTGTACATTTATGAGAACCAGCTGTAGAGGGCCAAGTAAAGTTGAGAATCAGTCAGTTAAGTGCAACATGACCAACAACCGATCGTCAGTCTTATATAATATCTAATATATATATGATATAATGAAATAACAAATATAATATCGACTATACCATCTGCCATCATAAGTAGGAGAGAAGCATTTCGGTCCGAGCAACGACAGAAACGCGATCTAGTTATGAATTTTTGAGTCAATTATCGCCAAAAAAGAAAAGCGACAAGAGTAATGAGTGAATACAGGAAGAGAAGATGAGGTATACCTAACAGTCGACAAATGAATAGACACTGCAATATCATTCATCGAATGATTGTTTCACGCAGCGTGGACTCCACTGGATCAGCCCTGAGAGTCACGTTTGCAACGATGCTGTGATGTCTTTACATGCCACTACGTTTACTAATCCACTATGGAATGCTACGCCGAACGCCGCCATAATAAGCTCTTCAACTCCTTGAAGACAATGTATGGACCCATCTTGGAGCCGCTGAGGATGTTGGTGAATGCTACTCCGGGTGCTGCCTGCACACAAACTGCAGACATAATGCAGATATAGCGCCAGCACTTCGACTGTCTCGGACTACGTTACACAGGCTACAACAACAAGAGGTGAAGATGAATCATGCCGACACACCGACACTGCATGAGACACAAAGCTCGCTTGCTCAGCTGAAAAACAAGAGGTGCGTCAGAGCCGACGAGATACCGCCAGAAGTGCTGAAACATGACAAGCCCGCGTTGATACATGCGCTGAAACCCATGGTGAAACGCGTGCGGCTTGAATATTGAATACTGAGAATAGAGCGAGATTGTAAAAATCTGCGTTGCTCCATCGTAGGTGGATCGGGCACATGCGCGGAATCACGTCGCTGATTCCTGCCCGGTGGCAGCATATTGCAGCTGCACTACATCTTATCCGGATGCGATACGCTCCCTATACCTGTAGTCCGCAAAGTGGGCGTCAAGGAACCTCTTAAATTCCGACACCGATCTCGCATCGACAAGCGTCTCCAGCAACTTGTTCCAATACTTCACCACTCGACGCTCGAAGCGCTTTAAATCCGGTATCACTAGTTTGTACCGGCGTCCGTGTGTGCTTCTTGGTGCGCAGACGTGCAGTAGCGGCTTCAACATAGGTAAATAACCCAGGTGCAGTATCCGGTGCGCTATAATGAGATCAACTCGAGGCCGACGAGATGACAAGGTATAAAGCCCTAGTCTCGTACATCGGCCCTCGTACGACATACCCCGTAAACTTGGGATGAGCCGGGTAGCTGCATGCTGGACCCGTTCCAGTCTCTGCAACTCACCTATTGTGATCGGACAACAGGCGAGTGAGCCGTACACAAGCACCAGCCTTATCATGGAAGAGAACGGGCAGGTGGTAATCTCTTCAGATCAAGTACAAAATCTGCGTCTAAGTGCCCAAAACAGGTGTAGTCCGTTTGCGTACACTCTGTTTGTGTTGTCGACAGACTTCAGATCACAACGTGAGAGTACGCCTAGATCCTTTACGGAACTGGGGGGATGCAGCGGGTGGCCGGCCAGGGTTTACGCACGCCAATTACCACCCTTCCACAGGCTCATAAAAGAGGACTTGGCCGGGTTGATCGGTAGGTCGACTTTTGCAGACCACCGGGATAGGCGGTCGAGGTCCTGCTGAAGGAGGTCACAGTCGTCGGGAGAATCACTAATTCTCCAAATCTTCAGGTCGTCTGCAAAAAATGCGCAGAGTGACCGAAGAAACTGAGGCACTTCGTTTATGTGGATCAGGAACAAAAAGGGCCACAGCACTGTGCCTTGGGGTACGCCGCTAGTGGACGGGTACCATTCCGTTAGGTGGTCATCCACCTGTACCCGCCATCTACTCCCAATAAGGAAGTCACTGATCCACTAGTGCGGTGCGCCACCGACACCACACATCTTCAGTTTGTGCAGCAGGACCTCATGGTTCACCATAACAAAAGCCTTACTGAAATCAATGTAGATAAGGTCCAATGACTTCCCCCGATTCAACACTTGCAACCATTCCTGCCGTGTCAACAGCAGGTTGGTGACGCACGAGCGGCCCTTCATGAGGCCGTGCTGCGCCGACGTTACATCTTTCGTTTCCAGCCGCTGGAGAAGACCCTCTCACAATCTTCTCGAGCACCTTCGTCAAAACAGAGGTGAGACAGATCGGCCGGTAATTGTCCACATCACGTAGGTCGCCGCCTTTTGGAATCGACTTCGCTTCCGAGCATTTCCAGTCGATCGGCAATGCACCCTCAGACAACGATCAGTTGAACAGATCCGTCACGGCAGGCCAGATGATGACCAATAAGGACTACATAATTAGCGGGTGAAGTCCATCGGGCCCGGCGGGTTTCGTGCGGTCAAGACTAGCGAGTAGACTGCGGACATCTTCTACACCGTAATCCAGGCCCACGAGTTCAGTAGGGGCTGCACACAAGGAGCCCGGCATAGGCGCATGTCCACTTGTATATACAGAAGCGAAGTGCTCCGCCAATGCGGACGCACGTTCAGTGCTGGAGGTCAGAAGTTGTCCGTCAGTGCCCCCTAACACAGCTACGTCATCTGCGGGCCTCAGGCACCGTTTCACTTAAGCGAAACTCATCTTGGGGGCCGTCTTCGCTGAGGTTGCAAGCTCCTCTTCGAACTGCCAACGCTTTTGCGCTGTTGCATAGATCCCGCTGCCTTTTGTACGTCTCATAATCGTCGGCAAAGCCAGACACGAAGAATTTATTCCATAATTCGCGTCGTCATCGAGCCAACTGACCGTACTCTCTGTCGAACCAATGTGGCTTCACTGGTCCAGCTTTCTGATACTTGAGGGTACGAAACCAGCGCACAACAATTGCACACCCATTTTTATGACAGACCAACAGGTTTCAACAGATGAATCCTGCGGCAACGACCAGGCTACTTCACTGGCGGCTCGATTTAGACCATCAAAGTCGGTTTTCCAATAATTGTAGGACGGCTCCGGCAGACGCGAGTAGGGCAGCGGCAGCTCTAGGCTGGCTAACACCATCGAGTGGTCACTAGCTGCCAGAGGCTCCAGGACCTGAATTTTATGTACACGTTGCTCCCAACTCGTTAGTATTAAGTCCAGGCACGATGGAGCGGAATGCGGTAACGCGCGTCCGTTGGCCTATATGCTGTGCTGCCCCAGTTGCAAATACCATCTCCGCAAACTGCGCCTAGACTTCATAGTGCCCGGAGAGAAGTTGAACCTCAGGCCACCGTATACGAGGGAAGTTAAAAGCGTCCATAAGCAGGAAACCGGGTCGACTCATGTAGTTTCTGGCATGCGGCAACCAATCCAGGCATCGACTTCGTGGGCTGCGATAAGCAGCACCACAAACAACTCACCCTGTCGCAGGTGCATCGAGCACCATAACTGTTCGCACAAGCCATCTTCGCTACGGTAGGTGTGTACCAGTCTCCCGCACAGTGCAGAGCGAATGTATAACAGCACAGCGCCTCGATCATTTGACAGTCTTTCGCACCGGGAGCACGAGTAGCCAATGGTCTGGACTTCCTGGGTAGTGATCTCAGGAGTTAACCAGGTTTCGGCCAGTCCTAGTACGTCCGGATGACGAGAGACAACGAATTGGTATACATCGTCATGTTTGTTCATTAAGCTACAAACATTTGTGAAGGCTACGCGCAAGCCGCGATAGAAACCGACAGACGCGCAGGAGGCGTCATCGACCAGTTGATTCGGGTTCGGCGCACCCGGAAACCACCCGAAAACTCACAAAGTGGAAATTGGTTTTTCCATTCCACTATCAGTCCGCCGCTTCAACTCCACGATGGTGGACTTCAGTTTCCTTGTTCGACGAATCCAAATCTGAACGAATATAGATCTTTGGATCTCTTAGCTTACCGAGGCAGGATAGTATTAGCCTCGGGCTAGTTTCATCAACAAACGAGACTCGCAGAAGCAGGGACTTCCCCTCCTCTCTCCAAGACGAGTGGTTTGCTTCACCTGCAACCCTTGTTAATTCACATCGAGAAGCCTAACAATTACGCTGCAGGAAATCCACGTCGTCGTCATAACAAGTCTGGGGAGTAGCATCCGTCGACTCAGGCGCGTGAAACATCATAAGGCTACAGCGCCGCTGATTGCTGGCAGTTGTCCTCTCCCTTTTGCTTCAAAAGCATCAGACGCTCGTTTCACTCGTCAGTGGTGCTCATCCTTCGGTCCCCTACTGGGGATCGAACCCATGACTGCTAGAGGCTGACGCCAATAAGCCATCAGCTTAAGCCACTGAGCCATGGCGGTTTGAAAAAGAGGTACTAGCTGAGTCGGAGGATGTTTTTGTGCTACCACTGTACAAGGGCAAACGGAGCAATGTGCCAGCAATTATCGTGGCATCAAGTTGTTCAACTACCTCGTCACTCAGGTCGTTGAACCAAACGTGGCTGAAGAGCATTGCGGGATTCGTTTGGACCGAAGCACGAGACATATGATGTTCGCAGATCGTCAATTGCGGGGGAAATACCGTGAGCAAAACCAGCCATAGCGCACGCTGTCTGTCGACTTCACCAAGGTATTTGACACAGTGAACCGCGAGACAATGTGGCTGGTTTCTGATAAGTTTAGTTACTCGAGTAAGTTTGTAAGTCTTACTGAATGTCTGCACAGTGGTATGCGAGTAAGGGTGCACCTGTAACTTTGATGTTGTCTCTGGTGTAAAGCGCCTGCGTTTTAGATCCTGCCCTGTTTAATATTAGCCTAACAGCCATGAAGTCCTGTGCTTTTGGTGCTTGTGATTACGGTGT